TTAACTTAATAATTTTGTTCCCAAAGTGAAATGGCTTAAATGGATCTTCACAGCTCCAACCTCAGGTTACCTGAATGGAAGAATTCAAATTCCCTTTTAAGAAATGGTGTATCAGGGATTGACAGACTGGGAACAACCAAGCATGCCTGTGCTAGCCTTAGAGTTGTAATGAGAAAATTCAATACATCACTATCATCCTCCCAGAGCATGACTTCCTGTCTCCTGTGATTTCAACATTTTTTTAAAAATATTTATTTGTTTGACAGAAAGAGAGAGAGCATAAGCAGGGAGAGTGGCAGGCAGAGGGAGGGAGAGAAGCAAGCTCCCCACTGAGCAGGGAAGTCCAATGTGAGACTCGATCCCAAGACCAAGATCTCAAGTCATGGGATCATGACTTGAGCTGAAGGCAGATGCTTCACCCACTAAGCCATCCAGGAACTCCTCAATATTTTTCTCTTCTGTAAGTCAGAGGACCCCTCATGGAAAATGTAACAAATATTTATAGAAAGCCATGTTATATAAAGAAATAATCATAAATGTTCTATAACATTACTGTTTAAAGAAATCTGTCAAATCAATCAATAAATGGTTAATCGCCCAGTAGAAAAGTGAGCAGAGGGCACAAAAGGTTAGCTCACAAAAGAAGAGGGGCAAATAGCTGATAAGGAAGCTCATAGTCTCACTAAAGCAAAGAAACGAATTAAAGCGAGTATAAGTACCATCTTTTGAATCTATCAAATTGGTTCAGCTTTTAAGAAGTGATCAGCTTCAAGTTTGTCAAAGGCACTATTAAATGGGTACCCTTGTGGAAGGCAGGACTACAGATCGAAAGAAACATCCCAGAAGGCAATTTGGATCTTAAAATGTTAATATGCTCAAAAGAATAAAGTAAAATTTTAGAAAATTTTCCTGAGTGTAGAGTTATTTACAATAGTGCAGAATTAGAAATGATGTAATCATCTAACAATAATGTAGTAACTAACATGCAAGGTGCCCAGGTGGCTCTGGCTCAGTGGGTTGCTGGATCTAGCTCATCGCAGCTCTTGGAAGACCATTAAATTTTCAGAAATGTTGTGAACCTCTTGTTAATATAGCCATTATTTGAAAAATAAATAAGCTTTAGATAAGTTATATTTAAAGCAAAGGCAGTAGATATTAAAAACTCATCTCTTTCTCATTATTTTAATATATTTTACTAATCTCTGTGCTCTTGAGATTACGCACCCCTACGGCATCTGTCTCTAAGGTGGGAAGACGACATAGCAGTCGACCATGGTACATGTCTTCCCAACTTCATGTTCAGTGACACTGTTGGAGCTTGAAAGCAGCCATGGTCAAAGTATTTACACCATAGGAGTTGGCAGATACTACCAAACAGGACTGTTCAGGTTTTTGTTTGAAAGCTAATTATTAAACTTTTACCAACACACCATCACTCCAGCTGCTCCAACCTCAGTTTCAAGTACAATGGGATGGTGACAACACCCTGAAAAATGTGAGGTCCACCCCCCCATGTGGAATATTTTGGCCACATCTCCATCCCTAGAGCCAACACCAAGGCAAGGGGGAAGTGATACCCATCTTCCATCTTGGAGCTGGGTCAGAGGCCCACCTGTGATCCCCACACAAAAGTCAGGGGCTGTCATTGGAAGAAGGGAGAATGGCTACTAGAGAACCCTCAAAATATAGCCCCCATGGCTTGTAAAGCAGGAGCTTACACTTAGTATCTATGTCCCCAACCCACCTCAAGGTCTCTTTCTTCTATACATCGTGGACAAGAGGCAAGTGGTTCTGGACTAGTGAAAGTCTTGGTATGTGGGGAGAGAACCAAGAACCTATGGGTAGGTTCTGATCTGAGACTTCTTCCTCACACTCTCTAATCTTCCCCTGTGGTGGGATGATGTTCCCACTGTCTTCCCCTAGTTCCTAGTTTTTACTGTTCATAGTTTGCTTCCAACATAGACAAAGGAGACACACATTCTTGAGTAGGTTCCTGAAATTTTTAAAAATGAATTTAAACTATTTTTTCTTTAAAGCGTTCCTAATCAAGTGGGGGAGACATACAGAGAAATAATTATGAACAATGTGAAGTATGCTTTCACAGAGATAGAAAGATATACACTGCACTTAGAGCTAGTGGGGAGTTCGGAAAACAGGGACAGCTCTCCAGAGAAGAGGACCTGTGGGCTGGAGCTTTCCATACGAATAGGAAGCTTGCGGAGAGGAGCAAAGAGGGACTTTCTCTTCTAAGGGAACAAAATGAGCTCTGGCACCACAAGGTCACCCAGCTTCATTTGCTCTCTTTTTCCAAAACTCCAGATACCTCAAGAAAATTTCCCCTTCTCTCTTGCTCTCCTTTCCATTCTGGGCCACAAATAGACCCACACATGGGAGTGCCACCAAAGCACTGTGTGGTACAACCCTGCACAGGAGAGGAAGAGCACCCGGGCTTTGAAGTAGATCAACCAAGGGTCTGGGTCACTGATGGGACCCCCAGGCTCCTTGGAAGCCTCCAGCTGCTTCCAGCGCCTCCTTACATGAAACCCGTCGCTCTTTCAGGGAAGCACTCAAAGGAAACAGGCTTTACTTCTTTAGTGCTTTAGCTCTTCCCTTTGGCTCAATTACTGTATCTCCATAGCAGACATTTCTGCAACAGTCTTTTAAGCCTGGGGACCAAAGCCCCATTTATAGCTTTGCTTCTATGGGAAAAAGTGCTTTCAAGTTCCAAACAACCAACTTACAAATAAATGATTGAACTCGATGAGCTTCCTGTGATGCTTTGCACACTTCAGTGCGAAAGGCTGGTAAGTGTGTGTGTCTGAACATTTCTAAATATGGGTGCCAGGTGGTACATTTTCAGACCAACCAAGTGTGACTTTTTTTCTTTCTTAAAGCAACAGAATCATCTCTTGGGTGAACATATATCCGTTTAAGAGAAAATTGGTGAAAGAAATAGCCGGGACCAAAAATATAATATAGTAACGTTGAGAATTCAGGGAGAGAAGTATGTATTTGCAGAGTATAAGAAAAGAGGCTAACTTATTTTTTAACTTTCTTATTACAGTCTCAGGCAAAACAGTAAGGCACCTGCAAGCATGGAGAGAAAGGTGTCAAAGCCACCGAACAGCTGTTTTACTTTGAGTCTAGCAGTCACCAAGATGAGAACGCTCGTCCACTGCAAAGCAAATCTGGACACACCAAAGTTTTTAAACCACACAGTGGAGAGAACACAAAGTCTGTCTCCCTGAGAAGTCAACAGCATCAGATAATGCACTCATCAGAGAGGCTGACCATGCAAATTGCTCTTTTGCATCAAAAGAAGACTCTTGGGCTCAATACTTGATTCATTTCACTCTCCCACCCTTGCTTCCGCTCTTTGCTATACCTTGACCTTCTCTGTTCTGCCTCTTTATTTTTCTCTCATTTCCTCTAGGTAGAGGGGATGACGTGGTTGAAATTAATGCTCCTGAACCAAAGACATTATTTCAACTACGTTTTTATTCCTTTCACAACTATTTATTTGCTGTTGTTTATTCAAGATTCATACTTTGGTCTATACGTTGACATTATGAAGCACTTTTCCCCCATAAACATTGCCACGTAAACTTCTACATCCCTGAATGGTAGGTGTTCTTTTAAATTAACATATGCTGTATTATTAGATTCAGAAGTAGAATTTAGTGATTTATCAGTTGCATATAACACCCAGTACTCATTCCATCAAGGGCCCTCGTTAATGCTCATCACCCAGTTGCCCCATTCCCCAACCCACCTCCCTTCCAGCAACCCTCAGTTTGTTCCCTATAGTTAAGAGCCTCTTAATGGTTTGCCTCCCTCTCTGTTTTCGTCTTATTTTATTCTTCCTTCCCTTCCCCCACGTTCATCTGCTTCGTTTCTTAAATTCCACATATAAGTGAAATCATATGATAGTCATCTTTCCCTGACTGATCTATTTCACTTAGCATAAGTGAAAATTCCACCCACATCATTGCAAATGGGAAGATTTCGTTCTTTTTGGTGGTTGAGTAATATTCCATTGTATGTATATGTGTGTGTGTGTGTGTGTGTGTGTGTGTGTGTGTGTATACATATACATACACATATACCACATCTTCTTTATCCATTCATCTGTCCATGGACATCTGGGCTTTTTCCATGTTTCGCTATTGTAGACATTGCTGCCATAATTATTGGGGTATAGGTGCCCCTTGGAATCACTACATTTGTATCCTTTGGATAAATACCTAGTAGTGTAATTCCTGGGTCTTACGGTAGTCCTATTTTTAACTTTTTGAGGAACCTCTGTTTTGTTTTCCAGAGTGGCTGCACCATTTTGCATTCCCACCAACAGTGTAAGAGAGTTCCTCTTTCTCTGAATGGCAGGCATTTAAAAAAAAAAAACAAAAACTGATAAAGACCTAATTAAAATTAAAAAAAAAATAACCTTTCTTGCCCTTCTGAACAAAGTCCAATATTTCATAGTGAGCAGGACTGACTATATATTTTATGGGATCTGATGAAAAATGAAAATGTGAGGCTCCTTGCTCAAAAATTATTAAGAATTTCAAGACAGTGACAGCAGAACATTGATCCAAGTAGAGGGCTCTTTTGAGGGTGGGGCCCTAGGTGACCACATGTCTGTGAAGCTGGCCCCGCTGAAGGGTTTTTATGAACGAGAGTACACATGCATAGACCCAGGCATAATTCCCTAAGCTGGTATAGAATTAGCCAAAAATTCATGGTGAAAATGTAATAATGTGATCTCACAAAAAAGTACAAACATCCTGCGGTGGTTTCCAATACACTTCCTGAGAATTCACTTATTTATAATGACTGACACAGAGAAAATACTGTAATTCGTTACAGCACCTGGGCCAACCGATGAATGGGGTGTTCTGGGTGATCTGTTTTCAAATTTTTAGAACACAACAAAATACACTTAAAATGTGCTAAACATGGAAGGAATTTTGTCCTTGGAGCCTTGCAGCATTTGTGTTCTCAAAAATACGGAAGGCATCACGAATTTGCGAGTCATCCTTGTGTGGGGGCAATGCTACTCTTCTCTGTATCATTCCCGTTTTAGTATATGTGCTGCTGAAGCGAAAGCCTGGAAGGAATTTTGAAGTCACCCTTCCCCCGGGACTGGAAGCATCTGTAATAAGGTGTGTGGAAGAGCTCTGCATGCTGGGAGCTGAGATCTGCCTTAGCCACTGCGTCATTGTAACTGATCACTGCAGGCGCGGATACAGCCAGGTTCACAGCCGAGTGCATTCTGAAGAACAGGTTTCTCTGGTTCCAACAACTCAAATCACAGTGATATTTTTCTTCCTTAAGTGCCCCACACCTGCTACCCAAACGGTAGTTTCATTCTCTCCTGGCTCTTCTGCTGCTGGTCTCATGGACCAGCCCCTTCCCCCCACCACTGCCAACTCCTGCTGTTGGTCTCATGGACCACCCCTGCCTACCCCACCAACTCCTACTAAGTCCCCATCCAATATCCCCATCCCCTGTCCTCCTAGGCAATCTCTTTTCCCCTTGTGATAATGGAGTCATTGTCCCATGTCCTTTCTTGCAAACTTGGCAGAATAGCAGTGGCATTTTCCTCTGCCCAGACTTCTGCTGGTTTCAAAGTGGGGAGGGGCATTTGTCCCCAGGAACGGGGAAGGGTCACTGCCGAGACTCAAGGCACACCTGTCTCCAGCAGGACTGGTTGCAGATGATGCAGACTGATGCAGACTGCATTCCCCGGGGGGCAAACACAAGCCACCATCATATATTTACACTTCTTCCTCAATTGCCTTCTCCAGTCTTCAACCTAGTCTCATGTGAGCATGAGGCCTGCATTTATGAGTATCGCTGCTTCAGAGATGAGGAAGCTGGGCACCCTAAGAAGACAAGGGACTCTCACCAAGCACTATACTACCTGATGCTCAGCCTTTATTCTGCACTGCCCAAAAAACTTTGTTGCAAAATAAATTTAAAGCAGCAAGTTTTTAACATTTTCTAGGAAATAATTATATTTACAAGGTTGCAAATAAATGCATTCACTCTCCTTCTGGTTCTCCCTTCTTCCACCAAGCCCCCCCAACTCCTACTCCTGCTGATTCACCTCCTTCTCCCTCAAAACCCAATGGATGATCTAACTTCCTAGTCTTCTCTTCCTTCCTCTACTCAAATGCTGTCAGAAAACAGACTAATAAGCAAAAAAGCAGCAAAACCACAACACTCACCAGTAAGGAGAAAGAAGCTAACCATCTCCAAAGAAGTTGGAAGGATTTCCAGAAGGTTAATAAACTGAAAATTCTAGAACTGTGTTGCCTAAATTAACCGGCAATGCTGTACCAACTTGTAAAACTTCAAATAACAAATGTGTCCACAGATCGGTAGAGCTTACAAAGCTCTTTCACATATATTAATGCATGTGAACTTCACAATAGTATGACATAGATGCTATTATTAGACCCATTTTACAGAGGAGAAAACTGAGGCACAGAGGAGTTAAATTACTGGCCCACCATTACTCAACAGAAGTGAAGTCAGGTTTTCTGACCTGGGAGTCTGTGTTCTTTCCATTTTCCCACACAGTTGGTTGTTGAACTACATTTTCAGAACAATGCACCTGTATTTCTTCTTTTTCCAAATGACAAGAGACACAATTCAGAAAGAGATACAAGCCTCATATAAAGTCTTGCAGCTTGGATATCCTCCTGATGCCAAATTTAGAAGTCTCTGACCTTCTTTCAAAACTTAAGTAGGTTTCAAATCAGTGGAGAAAATATGGATTATTTAATAAAAGAATCTAGGACAACTAGGAAGCTACTTGGGGGAAAGAAACTTGGATCCAATACCCCACTTTTACACAAAAATAAATTCCAAGCAGATTAAAGATGTAACCATGAAAATAAAACTATAAAAAAACTAAAGGAGAACATGAATTTTGTTTTCCTTTCAAAGTCTCAGTGTGGGAAAGAGCTTTCCAAATCTGACACAAAATGTAAATGTCATAAAAGAGAAGATCAATATATTGGTAATATAAAAAAATCTGTATGTTTAAAAAGCACCACCATTAGCCAAATCAAAAGTCAGAGAACAAATATGGGCAAGTATTTGCAACCTATATGCAGGAAAAGGCTAATTTTGCAATAGGTAACCGAATCCCAGAAATCAATAAGAAAAAAACAACACACCCAGTGGAAAAATGGGCACAAGATATAAATGGATGGTTTGCAGAATTAGAGCTCTTAAAGAGATGGAAAAGATGCATGAACTCACTCATATTAAGGAAAATACAAATAAAAACTCCACTGAAAAGGTATCTACCTTTTCCCGCATGTCCAATTGGCAAAGATCCCCAAAGTCTGATAAGACCTGGGGGTTAAGAGGATGAGAAAATGGGTCCATTCCCACCTCTCTGTTGCAAACCTAAGTGTAAATTAGTACATCCTAAATGGAGAGAAATTTGCAGATGTGCAAGAACTATAAAAATTTAAATGCACATTGGAGGATTTCCGCCAATTACCTGTCACCAAGGGTGGATGGTGAACTTCTACTTGGCTCCAAACCTTGCTGTCACACAGCACCAGAGCTGGAGGAGGCCAAGGCCAGCGCAGCCCCTGCCTATATGCTCAACAGACATTCAGTGAGTACCTGTGAATACACGTAACACTTAACTTTCCTGGTAAACTGGAAGAAACTGTATAATATGCACGTTTTATGTATGAGGGGACTGTGGCTCAGAGAAGTTAAGTTGCCTGTCCAAGGCCACACAGCTGCTAAGCAGCAATCCAGGCTCAAAGCCAGAACCCACCTCTTTCCCTACAGAACCCCTGCCTCCAGCAGCTTCCTCTGCCCTTTTAGGTTGCCATCCGAAATTCCAAAAGCTCCGTAAAAGGAGGAACCCATGTGACACAATGGAGATCCCTAAAATTTGCTAAGCCAATGAATGGATGGGGTAATCCCATGCTGGCCTTTGTGGATAAAGAAGATGCTGCCCTTTCCCTGCACAGAGAAAAAAAGAAATTACAAAGCAGGAAGTAAAGGAGCGAGTTTCAGGAAAATACAAATATTCGGTCGCAAAACCAAAAATCCTGCTTGCTTGCTACAACTGTACATGGCCACATTACTATCTGATTTTTTAGAACCTCAGGGACCAGGCTCCATCCCAAGCCAAAGGAGGCTGAGTCTCAGAGGCTGTTGGTAGGCTGAGCATCCGTCGTTTTCCCAAGCACCACAGTTACCCCCTCGCGCTGCAAGAGTTGTGAAACCAGGGGAAGCATATGAAACATTTTTTTAAGTGAAGTAATTTATTCACAACCAAATGCTTTAGACTTTCTTTAATAGAACTTTGCTTAATTTTTACCCAGAAACCTACTAAGACAGAAAATGCTGACACCAAGTGGAAACAACTAGAACTTCCATGCATGGGGCAAGTCCTCGGAAATGAAGCTCAGTTGTATCTGACCAGATCACTAAACAGCTGGGGGAGCTCCTGGCAAATTGGCATGTTAACAGCACCACTGATGGGGTTCATTCTGCAGCATTTCATATACGTCTGTGTCAGGATTTGCCTTCAAGAAGCTGGCCTACCTTCCCTGATGCCAGGCGCTGCCCACTGCTGGCCTGTTCTAGGAACCTGTTCACAGGGCCTCGCCTTACCTTGCCTTACAGTGTGTGGATGTGTATATACCCAGGGGCACATGCAAATGGATTTATAAGCTCAATGTGTCAGGGTGCAACATTGCTCACCTTGTGCGTACAGAGAGAATGTGAACTTTGTTATTTTGACAAGAGAAGAGCTGATTTCTTTCTTCTTGCTGGAATGTGGGAAAAGAACTAAAGTTTAGTCCCATCTGGCCATCTCAGCCCAATCTAAATTGTCCCATTAAGTAACTCTCTTTCTGCTTGGATAACTCCAGAACAAGATGGCGGCTGGGTCTAGGGGAGAAGCATGTGGCCACTGGCTCACAGGGTGCTGACAAAGTGGAACTATGACTCAAATGATAAGAATGCCTTCTCCCAAAGCCCTGCTTGATGCTGCCTGGTAAGTGCTGGGTGGAGCAAGTTTAATTCATAAGGAATGTTGAGGAAAACATTAAAAGTAATGATTTCACAACAGATGTTGGTGAGCATGAGGAGAAAGGGGACCTCTCTTACACTGTTGGTGGGAATGCAAGCTGGTGCAGCCACTCTGGGAAATAGTATGGAGGTTCCTCAAAAAGTTGATAATAGAGCTACCCTATGACATAGCAATTGCACTACTGGGTATTTACCCTAAAGATGCAAATGTAGTGATCCGAATGTAGTGTAGTGGCACCTGCACCCCAATGTTTATAGCAGCAATGTCCACAATAGCCAAAGTATGGAAAGAGCCCAGATGTCCATCGACAGATGAATAGCTAAAGAAGATGTGGTATATATATATACAATGGAATACTACTCAGCCATCAAAAATGAAATCTTGCCATTTGCAATGATGTGGTTGGAAGTATAGGGTATTGTGCTAAGGGAATAAATTAATCAGGGAAAGACAATTATCATAGGATCTCACTGCTTTATGGAATTTAAGTAACAAGGCAGAGGATCGTCGGGGAAAAAAGGAAAAAAATGAAACAAAATGAAACCAGAGAGGGAGACAAACCAAAACAGACTCTTAATCTCAGAAAACAAACTGAGGGTTGCTGCAGTGGAGGCGGTGGAGGAATGGAAAGGCTGGGTAATGGACATCAGGGAGGCTATGTGCTATGGTGAGCGCTGTGTACTGTGTAAGACTGATGAATCACATACCTGTACCCCTGAAACAAATAATACATTATATGTCAACTAAAAAAAAAAAAAAGTAGTGATTTCATTTAATAAGTCCAAATATCAAAAGGGAGTAAGAAAGGAGCTATGTCTCCATATCTTTTCAGCTTTCTATGAAGGCAGACAAAGTAGAGTTAGCAATGGCAGCCATCCACAGTGAAATCCTAAACCAGCAGTTGCCTCAGCCTCGGCAGCACAGCAGGGTAACTGTGGTGCTTGGTGAGAACCATGGATGCTCGGCCTACCACCACCTTCTAAGATTCAGCCTCCATTTTCCTGGGATGGAACCTGGTTCCTGATGT